GATTCCTTTGGCCCAACCTACAATGATAGGGTTTCACCCAAAGGATTCCATTGAGTTTCATGTACTTCATATGTAACAAGGCGAAGTGCAAAATTAAGTAAAATCTTTACTGAGTGAACAGCTAATACATGGGAAAATCTAATCATACCCTACCTCACCATTTTGTATGGATGTAACAACTCTGAAAAGGAGATTCCTACACCTGAAATGTCTTCTATGCTCAAAACCAGCACACGGTAGTTAACCAACTTGAAGAACAAAATACTAATCTCTTTTATTCATTTCCCTCTTAGCTATTTCTTTTTCAGAAAATGTGTTTGTCTAAACACAGATTACTGAAATTCCGAAATACAAACACCAAGATGCTGGTTATTTAGAAAAACAGAAATTCCGGCAAGAGAGGCATAAAAGGACAAAACAGGTGCTTTGAGCGCCATCATTCCTTAAAGCAGTGCTTCTAAGACTCCTTGTAGCAAAGGACCATTTCCTCCTTTGTCTTGCATTACATACAGCTCTGATTCTTTACTCTTAGATTCAACAGATACTATCTGAATGTGTCCCCTTCCAAAATTCATGTTGAAACTGAATCCCTGTTGTACTGGTATTGAGGCTGGGCCTTCAGAGGGTGACTAGAACACAGGGCTCTGCCTTCACAAATGGATTACTGTCCCTATAAACAGGCTTCAGAGAGGGCTGGTCTCTCTTGCCCTTCCACTCTCCACCATACGAGGACCCAATAACAAGGTGCCATCTTGAAACAGAGAGCAGTCCTCACCAGACATCAACGCTGGCACCTTGATCTTAGACTTCACAGCCTCCAAAGTTGCAAGAAATAAATTTCTGTTCTTTGTAAATTACCCAGTTTTGGGCATTTTGATGTTACAGCAGAATGGACTAAGACAACGGGCTTAGAAGAATTCTGCCAACTGCTAAGTTTCCAATACTTCCTCTCAGTACCTATAATTGTCACAGAAGAATAACCCTGTGTGAAATCACACTTGCCCAGTAACTAGACTGGGAGAAACACAGTGCAAAATCACCATTGTTCAATCATAATTGGGATTTTTATCTCACAGACATTGAAGTTGATATGCAGTGAGGTCCATGAAGACCATTTCAGAAAGATAAATATTTTTAAAGGCTCATATTATAAAGAAAAGTGGGTATCTACAATCCCTAACCAATCTGTCTTGTTCTACTTGTCTTCTTAAACAAATTGTAGGTCCACTCATTTCAAAACTGTTTTATAAACAATGATTATCAGTTCATGATAATGAGGAAAACAACCAACTGTGTTCTTCTGTGTAGGCTTAGTGGAGTAAATAGGACCGTGGGCTCCCACAAGAAAGGAAATAGATGGCTTCCTCACTCTGCCACTTCCTAGCTGTGTGATTTGGGGCCAGAAATTGGTACAGTTTGGATCACAAATGTCCCTTAAAGGTCCATATGTTACAGGCTTGGTCCTCAGGGTGGTGCTAATGGGAGGTGGTAGAACCTTTAAGAGGTGGGGCCTCATGGAAGGAGGTTAGGTGAGTGGGGGGGGGGGGTCCCAAACAGATAGAGACCCTGACACCCTCCTTATTCTTTGGTCCCTGACCATGAGATGAGTAGTTTTGTTCTGCCATGCATTCCTGTCATGATGGGCCACCACAGGCCCCAAGCAATGATGTCAATAGGTTATGAACTGAAAACTCTAAAACTGTAAGCCTAAGAAAACCTTTCCTTTTTCTAAGTTGATTATCTCAGGCATTTGTTACAGTATCAGAAAACTGACTAACACATTAAATTGAACCCAGGGTTCTGCTTTCTATAGCCATGAAATGTGGAAAATAATAGGATCTACTTTATAGGGCTAGTCTGAGGATGAAGGGGAGTTTTCCATATTAAAAGCTCAGGTAACAGAGTGATGAACTCTGAGTCATTAGGACACATCATCCTCTGTGGCCACAAATTTGGCAAAGGGTGTCTCTCCTGTATGAAATGAAATGGCTCCAGCATGGTTTTCTGCAAGCAGCTCACTCTTGTTTTCTGACATAGAGCTTCAGGGGAGTTCCAGGGCCCTGAAGAACCAGGGAGCTGCATCTTGAAAAATGGTGAGCACAGACTTAAGGAATAGGAACCAACTCTGCCCCCAAATTCCTCTGAGGACAGAGAGTCCTTCTCCTCCATGTAAAACCATAACCACAGAAGCATTTCCAATCCAAATACTAGTGACAGGTCCACATTTCACCTCCATCAAAAGCTGCCTGTACCATGACCTTCCACAGCTTGGCTGTAGCTGAAACCCTAAGGCAGTTTGATACTGACTCAGTTTACTGTTGGACAACATGATCTGGGTCTGAGTTATCACATGGTGCTCTGGGGACCCAAAGAAGTGAGATCCATCCTTGGTTCTGTTTCTTGACCCTGTGCACCACAAGCAAGCCACTCAACCTTCTGCTGTAGTGACAGGCAGAGTGTTAACTGCTGCCTCCCTTGCTGGGAGGAGGAAAACCCCAACTCTTATTGAAGAGCAGGGGCAACACATAATAACAGAGAGGGGGTAGATGGTATATATTTACATGGAGAGAGAGAGACAGAGAGAGAGAGAATTTTATTGTCCACATAGTACTTTCCCCCCCGTACACTGTAAACCTTTTGTGCATAAGCCATGTACTTCCAATGCCTCCACCATTAAGCTCTAAGAGCTCACATGTGCTCACTGTCCACAACAGAGAAAATAATACATAATTAGGCAGTCCTGTGGATCTTTTCCAGCTCTTTGCAAGGTCAGATCTCAAGCTTGCAATTCTAAAAGATGAGTTTCAGAGTCTTGGTTATTGCCCACATCATGTGCAGGGCCTCCCTCAGCTGCTGTCACTGGCCCATCACCTAGGGTCTGCCTAGGTGTCTCCATTCCATCCCTTGGCTGTGTGATAGTCTTTGCAGAGAAGACTATCTTAGTCAATCATTTGCCATCCTTCCCCAGAATTTGTTTGTGTGTTTGTAAGTTGTCCCTGATTAACATGAAATCTGGCCTTGGGCACCATTTAGTGTTCCCAGGCCTATCTCATTCCACAGCCCTCACTGGCTGTAAAGACACTGCTGGCTTCCGAGCACCAGGAGACTCCTGTTCTGTCTAAACCTGACCCATCAGGTGCCCTAACTTCTTACTCCATTCTGCTTCAAATCCTTCTGGAATTTTTGTTTTGTTTTGTAAGGCAATTTGCTGTAAAATTCTCTGGAAGGACTCTGAACTAAAGATTCTTCACATTCAGCAAATCTCAGGTTAGGAAGGCTCATTATAGAACGTTATCAAGGTCAGATAACCACTCAAAGTAATCTTGATCTCCCTCGGTGATGAGCACCTCACTCCCTCCTGCACAGTTTGAATGAACTGTAAGCTCTCCTTCATTCTCACCTGGGAAATGTCTCCTTTCTGTCATGAGGTTTCAGTCAGCCTCTGCCTATGCACTTAGGTTCTCCACAGATCCCACCAAAGCCCCTTTTACAATGACCAAGTGACTGCTGAAGAAAGCTAGAAGATACCCTTACCCCTTCTCTTCTCAAGACTAAACCTGCACAACCTGGCTCCTTAGATCCTCAACACCTTGGCCACCCCCCTCTATACTCTCTAATGACTGATCTGGGTCCTAGGAGCTCCTGGGCTTGTGGCATTTCCTCACAAACTGTCCCATCTCTTCATGGACATGACCTCCCAGCATGCTTAGAGCTCCAGTCAACAGTCCAGACAATGCAGAGAGTCACATGCAGACAGAGCTAACAAGGACCCTACTCCCTCATGGCCAACATAGACAGGTTTCCTGTTTCTTCCCACACATGGAAGTTTGCCCGAGCATTCAGAGGACTATAAACATGGCACCAAAGCACAGCGAGCTCCCTAAAGCTGTCTTCCAACACGCCTCTGTGGTGTCTTAATCCAGGACATTCGCCCTCTGTCCTACTGACTTGCTCCTTTCCCAATCAGACCCCTTCCTCTTACCCGTGTGCTGGATGTCACCATTCATAAGGATAAGATAAGTTACATAATATTCCTTCTTGCTGACACAATGGCTGAGTCCATACTGAATTGACTTTTGTGATGCATTTTGTAATTTACAATTGTCTTATCTTCATTTTGGGGGCAGATGTTATCCTTATTTTATAGACAAGGAAACTGAGGCAGGGCTGGGTCCTGAACCCAAGGGATCTTTGGATCTTAGATAGAGAAAATTTTCTAAGGGTCAGTTCCAAGTATCAAATAAAGAATGAATCATAGAGAAAAAAGTAGAGGAATCTGGTTTCTATTTCTGGCTTTGCTATAAACTAACTCACAGATGAACTTTCCTGGTCCTCAGTTTCCTCATTCATAAAGTAAGGAGATCGAATTAGACAACCCGTGAAATTTTGTCCTGCTCAGCTGTCCCGTGTCTCCAGCCCTGTCTCTGCCATGTGGCTAAAATTAGGGAGAAAACATTGTTAAAATACCTTTCTTTTTCATTTGTCATGTTTTTAAGTTTCCAAGATTAGCTGAATAGTATTTGATAACTATCCAGCCAGTCTGTCAAGAAGGAAAAAAAACCCTCCCTCTATGTAATAGTCAATGTTGGGCCAGTAATTAACAGACATATCTGAAACACCAGCCTCAGGACTGCACCTCCAAAAGTCCTCACCCCAAGGACAACCATCTTGAGAGGCCTCGTCCCTACCACAGTGGCAGTGGTTCCCAGCCCAGGGGAAGGGGCACACTGTCTGCAGATGTTTCTGGTAGTCTCATGGGTGGGAGAAACACTGCTGGCATCTAGCAGGTAGAGACCAAAGATCCCTCTGATCATCAGCAAGGCACAGGACAGGCCTCGCAGCAGAGGTGTTCGGGCCATGCTGTCACTAGTACCAAGACAGGGAAGGCCTGTCTTAAACAGCCAAGTCAAAGAGCGGCCCCAAACTCTAATTCTCTTTCAGCTGAAAGGTAACTAGCTGGGCGTGAGTGAAAGAACCAAGGATCTGAGCATCTCCCTTACCGTGCGAAGAAGGACGCGGCCACCGAGGTCCCCGTGGAGCTCTCACTGGCCACACAGGAGCCCTGCGAGGCTGGGACACCGCAGGCCGCAGGCTTGTCTGCATTGTAGCGGTTCAGCGCCACCTCCGTCAGTCCCTCGCGGACACTCTCGGTCATCAGCTGGGAGATCTGACAAGGAAAAAGAACACTGGGCTCATTCCCTGAGGTTACCACATGTCCTGACCACTGCCAGCAGCTCTATTATTGGGTAAGGGTGCTGGGGGTGGGGGAGGGGTGCCCTAAAAGTTTACATGGCACCTGCATTCAGTCCCATGTGAGTGCACAGAGCTTCTCTGGGGGATTCCCCAGCGTTTTCGCCAGTGTATTCTCTCAGTTTCATTTAAAATAATGGAATAAAATAAACCCTCAACAAGTAAGCCTCATTGTATCTGTGCCTGCCACGCTGCAACCACATTTGAGTAGAAGGCATCAACTATTACTCAAATGCTCTTTGCATCCCAAGATCACAACTCATGCTAGCTTCTTAGCAGCAATGGTCCCAAAGGCTCTCAAGTGGTGAGGTACAGCACAGGTAGAGTTTAATTCAGGAAGAACCAAGCCACTAAGAACTTAAGGAATCGAGCAAAATACTACTTTGTGACTGTGTTTGTGGTCTGCTGTGGCAGGTTGGCAAAAAAGGTGAATTAAAGAAGCAAAATAAACAATCAAACACAGTTACCATGAATTGCCAGTGGCTTTCATGGAGGATCTAGATCTTCTCAATGGATTTAATTTTCCTTCCTCATTAGGAACAAAAGCTTCCATTTCATTTGTAATGATTTCCTTTATAAAGGGATTCCCAGTGGATTGTCTGTCTATATCTTCGTAATATGCTCTGAAGAACCACACTTTGGGACAAAATGAGAATCCTGTTGAGAAATACACTTTTGGAAAGTTCTAATCTCATGATAAATAGGATACTTTCAGAGGCAAAGCCTAAGTGTGCTATTTGGAAAACCTGTTACTTTAAACCATCAGTCTGGTTGCAAAAGAGAAAAAAATCTTACTTAAAAAAAAAAGGAACCTTTTTAAAAAAAGTAGTCTTTAGCTTTCTCCAAGCTTTAAATGTGAAGTGGAAAATGTTCCCCATCACTTAACGAATACAAGTTCCATAAAGCAAAGATCAGGAACAGTTTCCATTATGTAACCGAGCAGGCCAGTAGGCCAGTGAAAGAATCCCATTTGTTAACCCTGGAACGTTAAAACATTTGTACCTTTCATTATCAGCAGAACAGCCATTTACTCGGCGTCCCATTGACTTGAATCTTTGCTCTGCTTAAATTCCTGCTCTTACTTGGAAAGCCTCAGCATTATTCAGCTGAAATTCTGCCAGCACACACTTTCTTCTTGTTCATTCAGTGCATCGGAAGGAAACTTGACCCAAGCAAGAGAAACTGGAGAGGTGGCAATGGCAGCTGATGGCCTGGAGGACATTCCTTGTGTCAGCAAGAGCTGCTGACTCTGCAGAGGACCCATGTCATGTGTCACTTCTCCTGGGCTTCCTCCGCTGCCTATGGGGTGGGGGCTCCCATCTGCCAGCTGCCCCTCTCCAGGGGAAAGAGGCTGACCAGAGGGATTGGCCATGCACACTGTTGTCCGCCACAAAATAGTATTGATGAAGCCCCAGGTGGTGCATGATGCCATCCTGGACGACATCCAGGAACAAAGCAAAACCCTCAAATTCAGGGCACCATTTAAAAAGCCATAATCTAAGACACACATATCCACAATGATATTTGAAAGAATGTCAGTGAGCCAGCCAGTGAGTGTATTATGTAACTTTTTGTACACGGTGCCTGTCTCTCACCCAGTCTTCTGTTTGTGTTATTCCCTTTTCATTACTGTATTTCTAATCCAAAGTTTGAAGGGCAGCAGAATTTTTCAGCCTCAATATCTATCCATTGTTCCTGCTGGTACAAACACTGAAAGACACAACCAAGACATGTGGTGGTGACTGGAAAGATGCCCGTCTGAGAGGTACAGGCTCCTGGGGGTGGGGTCCAAATTCCTCTGCATATCCTGTGGGCCCAGGGGTTTCAAAAGTGCCACTTAGCAAATGAATTTCAATGCCTGGTTTTCTGTACAAGAGTGCCACTGGCCGCCTTGTCCCAAGCTTCATTGGATCTCTTACTTGTAAAATACTGGGGATTCATAGGCATGGGACATTGCATTTGCAAGCCTGTAAGTGGAATTATTCAGTGATCAATTATTTTTAGAAGTTAGAATCACAGAATGTCTTACAGCCCAATAGAATTTCCAAATTCACAGCTTCCAAGTGCTTTTTCTTAGGTAAGACACCTGAGGACCAGAGGTGGGATCTGTCCTGTCAGTCTGTGGCGGGAATCAGGACTCTGACTCTTTTGCCATTGCAAGTCCCTCCTCCCTTCCTATAACTGCCCCTCGCTCCTTTGCATACAAAAATTTAAACATTTCCCCTTTCTTTCTAATTAAATAAAATTTAGCACATAGGGAAAAATTTAGAAAAATAAAACATACACATGTGTATCTACTACCATCACTAACAGATATTAATATTTTAGAAGCTACTTTCTAAAAGAAACAAAACACAAAATTGAAATAGAAACCAAGGCCCGTGCATCCTGCCATTCCCCACACACATCCTGGTGGCTGCTCTTGGGGTCTGCAGGGCATCTTCCCTCGATACACACTGAGGCCACTGGAGTCTGATCCCTTTCCTCCAAACTTGGGGGTAGAAGCACAGTAACGAAAGGGAAAGCACACAGACAGAAGATGAGCAAGAGAACCCGAAAACTACAGAAGCAATCACAAATGACAGCACACTGGTTCTCTAGCCGGTAGACTCAAATGTCATTGTCCGTCAAAATCAGACACGTGGCTTAGATTATAGCTTCTAATAAACAAAAATCACACCGTCCTTCCTGCCCCCTTCCCAGACACAGCCAGAATCACATTGTTCTTTCTGTTCACTTCTATCATACCCACTCCTGTGAGAGCCCGGCTGAGCTCACGTTAAAGTTTCAATCTCTAGATTTTATTCTGCTCATTTTACGATGCAAAGAAGAAAGCCTCCTCTCCACAATGCCTCCTACAAGTTCATGTTCTCACTGTATTTAAGCCAAGTACCCTCATGAAGGACTACAAACTATCTGGAATAGGATACCATGTTTTGGCTGTAGCAACTGCTAACTTACCTCCTCCTCATTCTCCATATTCCAGGGCTCCAGCCTGCCCTATGATCCTCAAACAAACCTCCTGCTCCTTCTGCCACAGGCCCTTTACATATGCTTTCCCCTGTGTCTGCAATATTTCTATTTTTCCTTCTATATCTGTACCTTGGCTTATAATATGCATCTAATAGTAGCGCATGTTTTCTACTTCGCAGGATAGAAGATCTAGTGCTGATTTTCCCACCACTATATCCTAAGGTCAGCACAATCCCTGGCATAGGAAGATACTCAAAACATGTTTCTGGCATAAGATATATTGCTTTTTTCTACTGCTCATATTTATCTAATCAAATCTTAAGAAGAGATTTCTTTTTAAAATTTCATTCTTTTGATGGGGGTACAACTCAGTGGTACAGTACCTGCCCTAGGTTAATCTCCAGTACTGAAAAAAAATTTTTTTTTCCTCTATTTATTGAACTATTAGGCTATAGCAGTATTTCCCCCAACTCTATCACTGCCAAAGTATAGTGCTTCGGCTCCATAGTGTGACAGTTTTTCATTTGCAGTGCTAGGAGTTGAACCCAGAGCCCCACATGTGCAAGGCAAGCACTTTACCACTGAGCTACGCTCTCAGCCCTTTTTCAGTCCACTGTTCAATTGCTAATCCATTCCTATGAGCAACTGTGTATCAGGTGCTTTGCATATGCCAGGCACTGTGCTGAGCAGGTGTGCAAACATTTCTCAGCATCTCAAGTATCTTCAATAGTTGCTTTTTTCCCCTTACATATTGTGTAGTTTCCCCGGCAGTTAACATCTTGTACAAAGACAGGCTACGGGCTGGCCAGAAGTAACCTCTCTTCCCTCTGCTTGTCGACAACATTAGAATTTTGATAAAGAGAGGAGCCAGGCTTGCTCTACCACTCCCTTCTGCCCTGATGTTCCTGCCTTGGAGCCAGCTGACCGCAAACTGAATTCCTGGAAACCATGAGCCAAATTAAACCTCTCCTCCATTAATTTGTGGGTGCCCAGTATTGTGTCTCTGCAACGAGAAAGCTGACTAATCCACCCTCCCAGAGTCTTCCCTTCAGGAACACTTCCTCACTCAGGCTGTTCTCACGGCCCCCTCCCCACAACCCACTATTAAAAACATCCCAGGCAGCAGGAGTCCTCCTGAAACTTTAGCTTCACAACACAATTCTGAACCAAGAGCCTTACTTTTAAGGATTCTGATTTACCTCTGCTTTGCAGATTGTTCTGAATTTATTTCTTCTCTCACAATAACTGCAAAAGATACATGATTCTTCCTGAGAAAATTCAGATTGCAAAAACCTCAAAATATTCACCTAATATATTTGAAAAGCCCAAATCTGGGGGAAGGGACTCATTATCTGGATCATGGGTATGTGTCATTGTCACCAGCTATAAGCAGTGGCTGAAACTCGCTGGGCGGTCCTAATCACAAACTTGGGAGGGGGGACCAGATTTTCACCCCGGGATGGTGTTTGGTTTGGTTCTGATTAAAACCTGCTTTTAGCTCTGCAGCTCGGTTACACGGGACCATTTCACTGCTCAACGGTATCTGTTACTTTCAAAACACCACATCATATCCTGCAGGGAGTGGGAGGTAAATTAAATACAGGGCGATAGTAAAAAGAACAAGGCTGTAGGGAGAAGGTGCACACGTGTGTTTGCACAGGTGCTGACACATGTGTGCGTGTACATGTGGGCTCCTTGATGTGAGAATCCCATGCTCCATTATGTGTACACTGAGAGTTGCTTTCCACTGATCACATGGCAATGTTTCTCTCTATATAGTTTTAATATTAGGTAAGATTCATGTCTTTAAATCACACTTAAATTTTTGCACTGATCCTTCAATATTAGGAGCTCAGTAGTTTCACCCAAGAAACAGTGAATCTTCCATTTGGATATGATCTTGATCACACAATCAGAACAAAGGACACATAGCTCTTTACCAAG